GTAGTCATCTTGGTCTTATAGTTGACGAAGGACAGGCAGGCATTGAAAATGCTTTTCCCGGCTTCTGCCACATCTACTAGCACTGCAGCTCTTCTTTTTTTGAGGTTTTCTTTCTCACTTCTCTGCATTGCTTTGCGAGCTTGGGCATTTGCTTGTGGTTGCCTGAAGCTTGCGCCAAGCCACGTTGGCGAATAAGCTCAAGAGTTTTCCAAGACAGGCTTTTGTTTTTTGTGGCTATCTCTCTCTTGGTGTACTTTGCACAATCATGGATGTGCTGAACCAGTTGACTGTATTCCTCGTCAATGTTGTCAACAACGGCATCTTCCCATGTTGCTGCAACAGAGCCAAAAGAACTCCCAGTTTGTGGTCGTTCTGGGAGTTCTCTTCTTAAACTTTGCAGCCCTTTCTCCCCAATCTGTTTAGTGGAATCATGCATGGAGGAGATGGTGGTCCAATCCCATTTGTAATTTTGGGACAACAGCAACATCAGTCAGGCAAAAGCATCAATTGAATATGATGTGGTCTATTTTGTTGTGGAACCATTCACTGGGAGACTCCCATGTCCGACGTTTTGATTCAGCCTTCTGTTACTGTGAGTTACCACAGATGGTCTTGGTCAACATGATGAACTCCGACAGTCTCTCACTCTCTTTGTTCCATTCTAGGCCATGGGTCCTGATGTGGAGTGTTTTGGCTGATCTTCCCAGTCCTATCTTGGCATTAAAATCATTGACAATAATCCTCAATGTGGTCTTCTTTATAGAACTCCTCCAGCTCCATGTATAACTTCTCAATTTCTCCTTCATCTTAATTGGATATTAGTGCTTAGACAACAAAGATAGAAACTGCTGGCAGTGAGCCACATCTATTCAATTGTAATTGTACAATTTGGGTTGTTAGGCATTCAAATGAATCAATACACATGGCCAAGTTTGTGTTGACAGGGACACCAACACCTCCGACACCTCTTTTGTCGCATGTTCCGAGGAACAGTTCTTCTCCAGTGTTGAAAACGGCGTGATGTGAATAAAATGCCTTCTTTTCTGTGTCAGACCATTGATGTCGTACTTGATCTTATGCGCTTGTACCATCAGGTCCTCGATGGATACATCCAATGCCAGCATACGTGCATTGAAAGTACAGACAATCATTTTTGTCTTTCTTTATTTTGGCAGCCTAGTTTGGCCTTGAGATTTTATCAGCTTCTCCTTCCTCATCCTTCTTAATGCTGCCGTATTGGTGGCTCTTTCAGGGTCAGGGGAATGAGACCTATTGCATTTACTGGTTTTGGCATATGCCACACCACATTTGAAAGAAGGTACATAGTTATATGAATAAGACAAGTTAAAGATTCAGAGACTAAGACAAACATGAGTATTACAGTATTATAAAGAACAGCAATACAGAAGTTTAAGTGATGGCAAGGTCTGGAAAGTAAGATTAACTAAGAACAGAGGGAGAGACCTGCTGCACTGGGGAGTGAATTCCTCAGAAATTACAGTCTATGAGACAGTAGAGGAGATGTTTGGTAATATCCTGACTCTAAACTGATGTATTAAGGGCACAAGGACAGCGTCCTGTACTGTAATGGATGGATGTGACAAGGCTGAGAGAGAGTGATGAATGTTAGTGTGGGCAGGGACACGATTAGTTGTACCTCCGCAGTACAAGAGTTACTGGAGAGCAAGGATGCCTAATTTCTACTCCATATGGGCTGGAGTGATAGCACAGCGGTAGGGCATTTGCCTTACAAGCGGCCAACATGGCCGACCCAAGTTCGATTCCTCCGCCCCTCTCGGAGAGCCCGGCAAGCTACTGAGAGTATTCGATATGCCAGACACAGTAACAACAAAGTCTCCAATGGAGACGTTACTGGGCCCGCTCGAGCAAATCGACGATCAACGGGAGGGCCTTTACCTTACCTTACCTTACTCCACTTTGTAGGAAGGTGTGGCATAAAGGAATTTTCTTTCTCCCCGCAGGAGTCTTTCATTCCATGAGAGTTAGAAGAGAAGATATTTCACAGCAAGCTGGATATCAGGGTTCTGTGTGTGTGTGTGTGTGTGTGTGTGTGTGTGTGTGTGTGTGTATTTGGCAGGGGGAGGGGCTTGCAATTTTGGTTTTAGTTTTTGGACAACACCCAGCAGTCATCAGGCCTTGCTCCTCATTTTGCACTCAGATCTCACTACTGATGGAACCCTAGGGAGCACTTGTGGCACTATGGACTGAACTTGGGTTGAATACATAGAAGGAAAATCCCTTAGCCACGACATTATATCTCTGGCCCTAGATATCAGTATTGCAGTAAGAAATCTGGAAGAACTAGAGGATAATCGGGATGACAAATAAGTTTGTTTCTTACTAATTTCTGTGAGGTATAAATGATCTCAGTGAGCTCTGGAAAGTGGGGATAATAAAGTTACCTCATGTGGTTAAGGAGTAAAATATTTAATGTAGGAAGCCTTTAAAATGGTTTATGTCACGGAGTCATTGCTTGATCAGTCACTGATGAGAGTGACATTATGATGAGTTTAGGACCATGTCAGATGTTGAAAAGTTCTCTTTGAATTGCTTTTCATATCACCTTTAGCATCAGCAGAGTTTAAGATGTCACTTTTCTGTTTAATGAATTTCTGCAGCATCCATACTCCCTATTTCCACAGGTTCATATTGGGATTTGCCTTCACATAAGCCTAAGTCCACCTTCTTTGTGGATCCAAGGTCCTTTATAACAGAGGCCTGTATAAGCTCCCATTTATATTTCACAACTCCTTAGCATGTGATTTTAATCTACCCATTTTCAAGACTTCCACTTTTCACTGTTTTTTGTGTGTTTTTTTCTATCTTTTTTGTTGTCAACTTTCATGCTTTTCCTGTGCTGTTCTACCACTTTCCTTCCTTTTATAAAAATTAAAGATTCAACCTCATTTCAGATGAATTCTAATTACCACCTCTTCATCGAGCCCATCTTTGAGATGCTAACATATTTTAATATTAATTCTTTATTCAGGCGTTTTATATATTTCTTCTAGACAATAGTAATCTCATTTAGGATAAAGAGTGTGCCTTTTGCTTTTTTTAATATCCCACAGTATGCATACTAGTGTTAAATATTACTCATTGACTGATAGATATAAGACATGGGTTTCAGAATTCATTTATTTAGTTTTAGAATTTCCTTCTATGACATAAAGATACTTAAAAAAATTAGATCTTCTAAGCTCAAAGTGTGGCTCAAAAGTATCTCCTCTACAGGGATAGATACAGAATGAACTCTCTTATGTTAGACTTAAAGATACACAACAAGGTAGCGACAAAGGGTCAAAGGCAACACAACAGGAGAACTGATCCATACAACTGAGTTGGGGAAGGGGTTGAAAAGATGAGAGAAGTGTTGGGGTCCTTTGGGGACCCCAAGGAGGTGGGCACACTGGTGATGAGTGTGATATTGTAATTATGTGCATGATAAATCATCATTAAAATATTAAATATCACAGAACTGCAATCAATCAAAATATTTTTAATATTAAAAAAAACAAGTACCTCCCCTATATTGAGAGCTTTATTTTTCAAATTACCTGGGATTGTACTATTATGAGTTCATACTTCTAGTTTTATAAGCTCTTCTATATTTTAGCACTTCTACGAAAAGGGAAACTGCTCCCAAAAGGGGCAATGTCTTAACAGAACAAGGTATTATTTTGCATAAAAGTTGAGATAACTGACAGAGATAAAAACTAAGAGCAAAACGCTGTCACCTTTTGATATAGGAGATGTGCCTATGAAGAAAGAAGAAAAGGAAAAGGAGACAAAAGGATGGGAGAAGGTTGATGGAATTCACCACTGTACTGAATTTTTAAGATTTGACTACTCAGTGAGGACATGACTATTCAATCAGTAGGTTTCTTTTCACATCTATGACTTTTCTACCTTTCAAAATCCAAACTGTTTCCCTATATTATACCATTCATATATCTTAAGTAATTTGAAGCAAGGTACAAGCCACTCTTCAAATGTGAAATCACCAGAACACTCAGAATAGAATACCAGCAGGGTTCTAGTTTCATTTGTAGATGAGGTGCTGACAAGCCTATACACCAATTTCTTCTCACTGGTTTAAATTAATAGTTTCTCTCACTTCCCTTTTAATTGAATGGAAGTGTGGCTAAAATATCTTCTTAATGTGTTCAATGCTTCTTCAGCACAGATATTTACTAACAGGGTCCTATATCTAAATTGATGTGTTGATGTAAATCCTACCTTTAATCATCTTCAGAGTTTGGTCATTGATCCTTATTGAAATTAAAAGCATAAATAGAAATATCCATTACCTATAAAGACATTAGATTCTAGTGGATGAAAGCATAAAATAAAAAGTCTTTATAAACAGTAAGAAACAAATTGGTTTGTCTTCTGAATACAGCCACCTGATTGGCATCTAAGTAGCACTCTAGCACTGTTGCATTGTCCTCTTATTGTTCATCGATTTGCTCGAGGGGGAACCAGTAACCTCTCCATTGTAAGACTTGTTGTTACTGTTTTTGGCATATCAAATACGTCATGGGGAGCTTGCCAGGCTTTGCTGTGCAGGCAGAATGCTCTCGGTAGCTTGCCGGGCTCTCTGAGAGGGACAGAGGAATCGAACCCAGGTCCGCCTCATGCAAGGCAAACGTCCTACCTGCTATGCTATCGCTTAGGCCTGGCATGTAAGTAAATGTATGAAAATTTTATTTTCTATTTATGAAAATTCTTGAATTGTTATCTAAAATCTTGATAATTTAGGCTAAGCTAAATTATAAACTCTAAGATAGAGTAAGAACTTTCTACAAATAAATAGATATGAACTAATACTACTTTGGTGGCTAGTGTATTATGGACAGCCATGAAGAGTTACCCCACCCATTCCCCAATCCTCGAACCTACAGCCATCAGGTCCTGGGGAATGTGCATGCAGATTTGTTTAGAGTTATCAGAAAAGTTCTGCCTCTTTTTTTTTTTCACATTAGATGGGTAAGGTGCCAAATGCCTGACAAGTTTTAAGGGAGGCACATGTCACACAAATGTGTGAGTGCCCAATCATCATCTTATGAACTGGAAAAGTATCCAAAATCGTGCCTCTTTTGTGCAATCTAACTCAGGATTGCAAGTCACTTGTCTAACAGTCTTTTTACTGAAAGGTCAGTCAGTGAACATTGACTGACCAGCTTAGCTAAGTCTAAGAGGCTAAGGCACCTATAAACTCCAGATTGAAATGTGGTCAAAACACCATACCCATTCCACCTGGCTACGTACCAGCATATTTCTCATTTCATGCTACAAGCAAAATTCCTGTATTATTATTATTATTGCAAGAAACATACTGTTTTAATGCAAGCATAGTTCATGATATGGCAAAATGTCTGATTTCTCCTATAGAAGGTTATTTTATTCTAAGGTATCCTTCTATTCTAAGATTTGAATCTCAATTATCTTTAATTAAAATCCCCACTACAAAGGATAGAAAAAAATATGCACCTCCAAAGAAACATGGAAAGAAAGCATCAATCAAAGGAAAATACAAACAAGCTGGCAGTAGGGCTGCTTAAGATAGCTGCTTAAGACAGAAAAGGAGAAAAATAATCTAATTAGGTCTGCCTCCATGGGGAGGTAAGTGGCTCCTAAGAATATTGAGTCCTAACCAGTGTTTATGGGAAATTAACCATGGGCCATTCACAGTTGTAGGCATTTGAGATACAATGACTAAGGCATGTACCTTGCCTCCAAGCAATTCAAGTGAAAAATATGCTTTTCCGGAAGAGCATTAATGAAGGTAAAATGAAAGCTAGCCCTGAGGCAGAACAATCAATTGTCTGTGTGGCAAAGTGATATTTTAAGATGAATTTTTGAAAGACTATTAGTGTTGTACCTAAAGAATGGAGAAAGAACATTTTTCAAAAAAGCAGGACAATCATAATGATTTTAGGACCGGAAAAAGCCATGCAAAGCATTTTTTTAAATAATGTAGTTATGTTTGATGCCATCTTTTAGATATTTAGAATGTAATAAAACTAGGGAAAAAGTGATAAGAGGAACTTAATATTATATATTTAATATAATATCAATATAATTAAACATTTTATTAAATATGAAAATATTTATATAAATAAAATGTATCATAGAAATTTTTCTCTAAGAATATTTTAAGAATCAGTGAAGAAGTTTGGGAAGCTCATTTTGCATTCTCAATATATTTATGCACTCCCTTTTCTTAATAAACAGTTTAAATAAATGACTTGCTCTTTTTAGAAAATGATAGTTAATAGGAATAAAACCAACACCAACAAATTCTGCGAGATGAATTTGTCACCATTACATGTAATTTGATAACAAAAGTCACTCATGAAATGAATAAAACAAAACTATTCAAAAACTGGTCTTGAGAAATTATAAACAGGGAATTCATTCAAACGGGGAGGCAAAAATAGGATACTCAGTTGCAGGATAGTTTTGGTATAAAGTATTCAGTAAACTTAACTTGTCCTTAAAAGTAACTTTGAAATTAGTTCTTTTATAGAATACTGTAAACAAATGTTTAAAGTTGTTGTCATATTAAGCCCTTTCAACATTTGAAAATTAGAACTATTTCTGCCATTCTTTCCTGGGGTTAAGATAAATCAAATAGCACACAAAGCCTACGTCAGGCAAATATTTGGCTCATCCACACCTAGGATATCCTGCTTCTTTGGCAGATATTGCTCACTGACAACAAGACCCTTTCACCTGAACTCACAGTTGGACTTAAAATACTTTTAATTTTAGACCTTCAGGGTGCTATTCCTTTCTCTGTTCTAAAACTAGCACGGAATATAGAGCATATTGGCCACCCTGGTTTTGTTAAAATACCTGATGTGGTAAGCATTGAATTCCTGAGGAATTAATTGAGGAATTCAAGTTATTTCAAGAGTATTGTGCATCAATGTATGTGTCACGACCTGCCTTTAACAAAAATAACAAGTTTTATGTGTGCGTTGTGTGTATTATTACTTTATAACTATACTTGACAATTTATAGTTAATAAATCATTTGTAAAATATTAGAGAATTGACAGATGCTTTTTTTAAGTTACAGACTAGAAACCTACACACTATAATTTAATGTGAACAAACCAATCCCCCTCAAAAAAAAAAACTCTTGTTGGATATGTTTTGGGAACATTTATTCTTGGTTATACTCTGCATGGACCATTACTATTATCAACTAAAATGGCATCATGCTCAAGGGATATAACCCTCAATGCAGAGACCAGTATCTTTTGTAGAAATTATCATTGAGGCACAAAAGTATTACTCAATACAATTATATTTTTGTCATTAAATATTACTCTCAGTTTTTATTAAACTTGAGATTGGGCATAAATCATGTGAGTTTCAATTTATTTCAATAAATAAAAAAGTATCAATGAAATAAAAATGTCCCTTTTGTATTTAAAATAGTGAGGTTATAGTATATACTTCACTGAATATACTACAAACTTTGTATATACAAATATGACAGAAATATAATATTATTTTCTTAGTTTTCAATAGTGTTTTGCTTTGAAAATTATGGAAGCAACAAGTCATGGCATGTCTTGAAAAGAAGACAAGTTATAAGGGGTTCTCTTCACTTTTGATTATATAGGTAGCTTGCAAATTGTCATACAGTAAAACTTTCATTTTGAAATAAACTGTATCAGTGCAATGAATTTTTGATGTTTGATGATCTCTACTTTTAAGAGGAAAAATAAGTCCCAGAAAGAACAGGCGTTATTATTAAGTTCCCCAAAACATTTATAAAGTATATGTGAACATATACACTGTCCATGCAAAGGTCATAATTTCAAATTTTGTAAGCATTTGCATTAATTATTTTAGAGAGTAAATTTTCATCTTTATAGTTTCTAAGGGAGACATTCTGGAATATGCAGAAAAAAGGGACAAGGAGGAAATTCTCTCTGGAAACAAAATTTCATGCATATCTTTTAGACATATCATTTATATATAGCAGTAAAATGTCACCAGTTAAATAAAGCTAACCTTTTTCTATATTTTAAAAGATATTTTGTAGAGGATTTTTATTTAAAATTGTCTATGATTTTTTTCTTGTCTGTAAGATGTGTCCTGTATGCTTTTGATTCATAAGCAAAAGATATTGTAGTTTAGAAAAATCTGAATCTGAGTTCTGAATCTGAGTTTGTTAATAGTGCAAAATTTGAAAAATTATAATAAAAAGCAGATTTAATTAAGCTCCAAAGATCAGAAAATGTGTACCAGGTTGTAAGATAACATTGGTTTGTTCTTTCTCCCTTAGCACAGGGAACTTAGATTTATCGGGTTACACCCATCACAGTGCTCCAGAGTCACTCCCATTCCTCTATTTATCTGTAAACTCTTCTCTGTGCTCTCTTCCCCAGCCAGTTAATCACCTTTTCTCCCTAATCATATTCTGTTAGCTTGTAAGATCAGATCCTTTTAAGAACACTGAACTCGTATTGTAAAGTAACATCTTAAAGCAATGTCCTTTCTGTATGGACACAGGAAGACAGTTAATATTATGCTTTTTAACCTGGGAATTGACTGACTCAGAATACTATTTACTCTAGGGCATCTGCTTTCTTGACTCAGTTGCTCTTAGTTCCTAGTATCCCAAAAGCAGGGTCCAACAAGGGACTGAATGGACCCAGGGCAAGCTGTGAGCTACCCTGGCATCGAAATGGGCCAAGCCAAAGTGCCACGATACTCAACTCTAAGTTGAGGGCATGATCATGGACAAATGCTGTCATGATCCAAAAGTAAGTAAGGATGAGGCTAGGACCCTGCTGGGGTTAGGAAGACTAACCTGGCCTGAGGACTGTGGTACAGCCTACACACACACACACACACACACACACACACACACACACACACACACACGTATATACATATATATTCCACAGTATATACATATATACATATATATATATGGAATATATAGTGTGATGTCCTCAGGAAGAACCAAACCTTAAGTTTATCTCTTACTGTGCTCATATATGAACAGCGCAGAGTCCTGGCTGTCCTCACCAGGGCCCCTTGGAGGAGGGTGGGTTGAGTTTTGCTCCCCACGCCGAGCAGAGCCCCAGCAGCTGAAGACCCCTGGTTCCAGCCACAGCTATGCTTAAGACCACTCTCCACACATTTGGAAGAGCCTCACACATGAAGGAACTAGCAGAGGAACCCAGGTGTGCGGGACCCGGGGTGTAGATCTCCAGGCCTGCTCAGATTGGGATTGGGCATCCTCCACCCAGATCCCCATCTTCCAATATGTAGGCATTACACTCACCAACTGCCCCCAGTGCCCGTGTAGTCCCATCAACAACCAACACCCAGAAACTATAAAACCCAGCTCCTGGAACATCTTATTATCTAGTTCTTACTCTGGAGAACCTGGCAGGTTAACAAAAGTATCCTGCCCACACAGCAGAGTCTGGCAAACTCCCCATAGCATACTCAATATGCCAAATACCAGTAACAATGATGGGTCTCATCCTCCTGACCCTCAAAGAGCCTCAAAAGTGTCACTTTCTAAAATCTCAGGGCAAGGACGAAGGAGACGTTATTGGTGCCTGCTGGAGGAAATTGATAAACAACAGGGTGACAGTGACAGTGACAGTGTGCTCATACAGAATGACATTGCTAGAAATATTTGAAGTAGATTTACTACAACTATTTAAGTAGATTACTAGCGGAGGAAAGAACACACCCTCGTTGGGATCCCACCCTTCAGCAGATCTCCTAGTAATCTGGAGTAATCTCTTTAGATGAGATTTTATCCTTGAGTCAATCTCCTGGAGGAGTGATCTTACCTGTCTTTGTTGATTTGTGTCACCACCCTACATGATTGCTCTATAAACTAAGACTGTAAACTCTGAGGGGGCTCGGGCTCCAGAGGGCAGAATCAGAAGTGAGAGGGGCTCAGGCTTGAGAGAGAGAAGCAGAAGAGGAGTGAAAATTGGAATAAACTTCAATTGATAGCGACAAGCGTGGCCCTTATTCCTTCCTTCACCTGCCCATCGCCATCAACCTCCCTGGGGTGGGGGAAGCAGCGGA